GGTCTATAATTGTCCATTTGGGTTTTATTTCCCTTTTTGTATAACGGTCTGACTATTGACTTCTTTAGCATGTTGGGAAAAACTCCTTGTTCTAATGAGAGGTTAATGACATGCAAGAGAGGCTTCAACAACACGTCTACAGATAGTTTCACAATGTCGGTTCTGACATCATCGTAACCAGACGCCTTAGAGTCATTTAGTGACAGAATTATTCTCTTTAAATCACTCTCCTCCAGCGGACCCAGAAATATAGTGTCTCCCACTGACTCAATATTATGACACGTCTCTGCATCCACGCCCCCATCACCTACTGAGCTGCTAGAAACCAGCTCAATAAAGAAATTATTAAAACTATTTGCAATTGACTCAGCACTTTCATGATCTTTGTTATCGACAGTAATTTTTGAAATCAATGCATCCTCTAAATCTGCATCAGTATGTCTTTTTACAATATTCCAAACAGCTTTACATTTATTTTGAGCTTTCATTATGTAATTGGTATTATTTATCTTACGCGACGATAATATGCATTTTTTCAAAAGATTGCAATAATTTTTATATGTCACCCTTTGATATTCATTATTATTGTGTTTTAATTTATAATGTAATTGACTTTTGATTTTACAACTTATTTTTATACCCTTGGTAAGCCAATTTGACTTATTTAAGGATTTGTTATACTTTTTAATACGAATAATTGGAAAGCAAAGATTGTAAAATAATAAATATAGGTCATAAAATTTACGAAAAGAATCATTTATCGAGGATTCTTCAAGTACGTCATAAAAAGATAGACATGAAATATAATTCAAAAATTTTACCTTGTTCTCTTTACTGTAATCTCGTTTAAACTCATACCACCACTTCACAACTGGCTGTTTTCGCTCATTGATAGTCCAGGAATACGATTGAGCTGTATGATCCGATAAACCCAAATCCAGAACCGTGGCCGATCCCATTCCTATGGTGGTAGCGATATGGTCGATACATGTCTGTGTCGTTTGGGTTACTCGCGTAGGCTTTAATATCTTGTGTTTTAAGTTATAAGAGTTCAGCAAATAATTATACTCCCTGGCATCCTTAGATTGTTTAAGAATGTCTATATTAGTATCTCCGCATATTAATAATCTCCTTCTAGGATTACAACCGAGTTTGTTTAAAAGATTGTCCAGTTTACTCAAAAAAATCGCAACATTTGATGAAGGCGTTCTATAAATGCAGATAATAATAACCCCATACTTAATTAGGTCCACACCACAGCACTCGAATACACACGATTCGCTAATATCTTTCGTTTCAGTTAAAACCCTAATTTCTATGTCGTTCTTTACCAAGATAGCGACTCCTCCTCGTTTGGAAGTTTTTCTTGAGTAGTATGCATGTGTTGTAAATCCTTTAAGGCGGAAGCTTTTTTCCGTCCCTTCTGCCAAAAATGTCTCCGTTAAGCATAGTACATCCGTATTCGTCATTTTATTTTGTAAATCTAATATGGCAAACGAAATATCGTCACGCTTGCTTAGTACGCCGGCTACATTCTGGTGAACAACTGTCAAGCAAGCATTACTACTATTAGCACTATTCACGAAAAAATAAATCATTTTTTTGTACTATTTTCTCGATATTACCTGTCTGTACACTCACATCATTTAAATTAGTCTGTATTCCTATGTCATTTGTGTTTCGTCGCCTATTCTTATTTCTTAGTGAGTCAGTATAATTTTTATGATTATATTTGTAATTTAACTGCAATATTTGTCTATAAACTAATCTGCAAGCATTCAGTTTATTTACCCTGTTTGGTGAAAACTTAAAATCATTGTGGAGTGGCACGAAACACGAATTATTGCAATTGTTACATACAAACTTTAACAAATTGTTGACATTTATTTCATTTAAGTAGTGGCTCCTACAAATTTGGCCCACCAGTACATTAGTAAAATCTAGGTGACATATTGTGTGATACAAGTATGATTGGATCTCCATCGGACTCCTGTCATTTGCTCCCGCCATAATTATCACAAAATCAGACTTTCTTAAGTCTTTACACATACTTGCACAGGATTTAAGCACCTCTTTAGTTGTTGCATTCGGTTTTATGAATGACGTCACTATGAACTGCTCCCCGAGATAGGCTTGCATAATGTTGCGGACGTTATAAGCGGTCTGATCACCAAAAATCATCACCTTTTTTGGAGAATGTATACTTTGTGTTTGGATACATGTAGTTATAGAAGAAGTTGGTACGTCCTGGCTATTCAATTCTAAGGTGTGCCTGTTAGTATTGTTTCTGTGCGGTGTCGTACCTAGTATCGCCTCAGTACTGCAAATAGACCCGGCAGTGTCAAAAGAAATGTCAGACCCCTCGTTAGGGGTTCCCTCTGTTCTAGCAGTGTTCATATGACTTTTCCCCGAAGGAGGTAGGCACAGCTTTGACGGGGTAGAGAAAACCTTTCCCCTCAATAGTCTTTTGCGTGCGGACATAGGTGAAAGACACTTTGTATCCAATATATTAACTTTCTTGTAGGATTCTATGACTTTCTGATACTGGCCTATATCCATCTTCAAACGAAAGTTTTCACTATTCAGGTTGTCAATTTCCATGTGTGCACTCTCTAATTCTAAAGTCAACCGTTTTATTGTATCTTTGTAGTTTGAAATCGTGTCGCTATCATTAAGTGAATTGTTTGGCAAGCTCCTCATTGTAGTATCAAGTAGTGCAGAGTTCGTGCTCAAATTGTAGTTGAACAAATCTTCCATTGAATTTGATCGTTTAGTTCGACGAATAGTAACATTGTCGTTATCTAAATTGTTCATTCTGGTTTCGACAGTCCTTATCTCTGTCAATTATTGTAGAAATTGAAGAAATCAATATAGTGTCGTCTATCAACCCACAAAAAATTACGAATCGTGGGGATCGAACCTAAGAACTATCGCTCCCAGAAACCTCACAGGTAGGATCTGGCGCCACGAGACCAAAGTATACTACACGTTCTTTGCGAAATTATTGACCATTTGATGTTTCTGGGCTCTGTTCGTATGTCAATTAATTCGAACTTTATTTCCGTCAATTAATTTTATGTTTGTCCAGTCTTTTTCAATGATAGTTAGCAATTCTGTTACCAAATTCAATATTTATTAAACAATATGCACATCCACAAAAAGAGTAAACAGTTCTCAGTTGGGTTCGAACGCGCTACTCAGTGCTCGTAAAGCGACTGCACTTTCGATCTTGCCATCAGTGTAATCAATCAATGTATCGAATTAGTGTGTCATATTCTTCGTATATTTAAAGGAAAAAATCGCTAACACCGTCTTTTTTTTTTTTTTTGTAATTAAGATGAGTTAATGCAAGTCCAAAGTTATTTTGTTTTGTATTATATGTCTAGTCATTTATTTATTATTCACTTAAGCAAGTATTGTCCCACTTTACACCTTTTTTCACTTCCAAGTTTTCCAGTTTTATGTAGTTATAGTTTTATTCATATTTATGTTATAACTTCTCAGTTTATGCACATAACTCCTGTATAACACGGTCACTGAGTATTCCGATTATGTTTTAGCTATTCGCACATTTTTATTTACTTTAACGCACTTTTTGTATATCTAAAAAATATTTTTTCACGGAGCGTTTAAAATTACGTACACTTAGGTGCAGCGCCACCTAGCATTTTTCTACACCTTCGGTTACATTGTTCAAATTTTACCAAGGATCCCTATTTTTCTATTTTTTTTTCAAAATGAAATGTAGCCTATGTCAAATTGGAAGAATGTAGCATTCTATTGGTGAAAGAATTTTTTTAATCGGCCAAATTCTTCTTAATTAATTCATGTAGCATTCTATTGGTAATAGAATTTTTTTAATCGGCCAAATTCTTCTTAATTCTTTAATTCTTATTGAGCCTCTTCATTAAAAACATACAAAAATACGTACAAATCTTTCCTCTTTTAATATTAGTATAGATATAGATAGATACATACATTGGTGGAAATATTAGTGTTTTGTGGGTTACGAGCTTCAGAAAGTGGCTTAAAAAGGTGGGATAAACTTATGTGTTTCTCCAAACCATTATCTGCCCTTGCTTCATATTTTACCTTCAGTCCCCTTCAATCGTTTTAACGCGACGGAGTAAGCAACAAACTTTCACATTTGTAATAATATATTAGCAGGATTGCCTATGTATGAATAGATACTGTTAATTACTGTCTTGCTTGATTTTATATTACAATTTTCCAAAAATATTATTATACAGCAATACCTAATTAGTCGTCGGAATACGATGATTGACCACTAGTCATATTTAATACTTTTTTCAATAAGAAACTGTCAAAATGGACAGTTTTCTATGGATTTTGTACGAAATTGTGAATTGTGACGTCACGTTTTTTTAACCGTCAAACAGCAAACTTATATCTTAACTCGTCGAGTACCGGTTTTGTAGACACAATTATAGAACAATAGGTTGCGGTCACCGGTGACCGCTTGTTGTTTGACAGTTTAAAAAATGATGGAGAAATATCAAAATTAAGTTGGTCATAAAATCGATTAATGAAAGTGTGATTATGTTGTAATAGTGTATTGTATTGAACAGTCGAAATAATTTATTTTTGATTAAGGTAAGGTACTTTTAGTAAGGTACCCAATTGTAACTTAGAGAATGACACAAACGTCTAAGACTATCTATCGTATGGGTGATGGGAGCTAGTAACATTAATTGTTAACATTATATGCACCTTTAACAATAATAAAATCAATTAAAAAATAACAATTACTTAGGTACCGTGTATTCACACAACCTTATTATACTCATTGGTCTACAATTATCTTGAAAAGTACTTAAAACAATTACCTTTTATATTTACATAATATTGTTCATAATCCCACTGAAGTTTCCGTTCCATTTTTCCCGTCAATAAAAATGACATTGTAATAGATGTATTATACAGTTTAGTAGTACTATAAATAGAGGAACATCTTTCGAAGAAATCAGTTGTACAGAAATATCTGCATTACACTATTCACCATGAACGCTAATATCCTTATCTACTTGGTACTCGCTATTATTGCGGTAAGTCAAAAATGAAACATTATATTATTCATTATACAAATTTCATTCATTTTTTTTTTACTTACATGGCAATTAGTAAAAACTCTGCAAAAAATAGATGTGGACATTAGCTTTGGGAATAAAAATAATTACTATTTTTTTTGTTTTCAGATGTCCAACGTGATGTTCGTAGCAGGTATAAAATATATTGTGTAAAATCATATAAACATGTAAAAAATCTAAACAATCATCTAAAAATGTATTGGTTTATTGGGCGTCCGATAACCTCACTCATATAACGAAACACAACGCCAGCGTTGTTTCATGTCGATTTTCTGTGAGGCCGTGGTATCACTCCATTCGAGCCGAAACATGGGCCTCCATACTTAAAATGTCGATCATATATTGGAAGATGGGAAAGTTCTTAGTGAAAATGACTTGGGTCGATGGTTAAAACCACCGATGGTGTCAAAATCACCAAGAACAGATCAAGCTCGATATATTAGCTTCTCATCGTAAGGCTAAAAATTTTAAAAAATTCTGGAGGGCGACCAAAAAGTTGGATGTTAAGCCTGGCCTTCCGGTGAGTGTTGGGGGTGCTGATCGGCCGGACGACATTGCTAATATGTTTGTAAACCACTTCAACGTGGAGTCGCCGCTGGGTGCATCGTTGCGGGTGCTTGATGATGGACATTGTTCTGACTCGGATTTAGTGCGTTTCTCTGCGAAACAAGTATCTAACACAATCAATAAAATGACGAGAGGAAAATCCCCGGGTCATGATGGTCTGAGCGTTGAGCACCTGCAGCATGCTGGACCGCATATGGCTAGGGTATTGGCTATGTTTTACTCCTTGTGCATGTCTCATTCGTACCTCCCTCATGATCTCATGCGAACCATTGTTGTGCCTATTATAAAGAACAAAACGGGTGACATATCAGATAAGTGCAACTATCGACCCATCTCTCTAGCTACTATTATCGCGAAGGTGCTTGACTGTCAGCTGGACACAAGATTGGATAATTTTCTGCAGCTGCACGATGCTCAGTTCGGGTTCCGCCATAATCTATGCACTGAAAGTGCGATTCTCGGGCTGAAACATACCGTACAATATTATACAAGGCGTCGAACTCCAGTTTATGCGTGTTTTCTAGACCTTTCCCGTGCCTTTGACCTCGTCTCTTATGATGTCATGTGGGATAAGCTGCGGGAGAGAAAAGTTCCGGCTGAACTGTTACGTATTTTTCAGTACTGGTACTATAACCAGATAAATAATGTGAGATGGGCCGACAAGTTGTCGGTGCCGTATGGCTTGGAGTGCGGTGTAAGGCAGGGAGGAATAACCTCACCAAAACTGTTCAACCTCTATATTAACGACCTGATCGTTGAGCTCAGCAGTAAGAAAATCGGCTGTCGCATTGATGACTGCAGTATTAATAACATCAGTTATGCCGACGACATGGTGCTGCTGGGCCCAACGGTCAGGTCGCTCAGAGAGTTACTTGCGTGTTGTGAGTCCTATGCACAGACTCATGGCCTACTGTACAATGTTGCTAAGAGCGAATTCATGGTCTTTAAGGCGAGTGGTGGTAAATGTCCAGATTCCGTACCTGCAATTAGGCTTAATGGTAATGAACTAAATCGTGTTTACCAGTTCAAATACCTGGGTCATTACGTGACCGACGACCTTAGGGACCATGTAGACATTGAGCGGGAACGTAGGGCGCTGGCAGTTCGATGTAATATGCTGGCGCGCAGGTTTGCGCGTTGTAGCAAGGAGGTTAAAGTAACACTTTTTAAAGCATATTGTCAAGTGTTCTACACGTGCAGCTTGTGGGCCGGCTATACTTTGCGGACTATCAGCGCCCTGCGAGTCCAATATAATAATGGGTTCAGAATGTTGATGGGACTGCCCCGTTTCTGCAGTGCATCTGGCATGTTCGCTCAAGCACACGTTGATGACTTCCATGCCATTATCAGACAGAAGTCTGCATCGCTGCTCTGCAGGGTGCGGGCCAGTTCCAACTCCATCTTGAAAACCATTGCAGGGAGGTACGATTCACCTATAATACATGGTATCGTGCGAAGATGTATTCCCAACAGTAAGCTTGTAACAATATCTCTATAGGTACTAACATAGTTTTTAAGATTTTAAATGTTTTCTTACTAACCCCTATGGATGCTTCACTTGTCCGAAATAAACGTTATTTTATTTTATTTATTTTATTTAAAACTCTTGTTACTTTACTTTTCACTGTTAGGACGAGTTCTGCTAGTAGGTACGACTGTTAGAGATAACGTTCTTAGTATTGTACAAATTATTTTTATCTGAACTCATAGCTACCTTGTAAGCGGTTGTAGGATGGTCGACTAGTTTTGAGTCATACAGGGAAGATAAGAAATCCTTTGATGTTAAATTATTACAATTAATATTTTTTTATTATTTTGTCTCAGGAGAACCTGGTCCTAACGAGTGTGATGATGAGAGGTGCGGATCAGTGATCGATATGGAAGAACTTCTCGATGTTTTGTAACCAATTTTCCAAAAAATGTATAACAATTTTTCCATTTCTTCTTTTTGATAATGATTATATACCATACCTATCATGTTATGTATCTTTGGTCAATAAACATACATTGATAAATTAATGTCGTTTAACCTGTTAAAATATCGTACCCTAAATTTATTCATACAAAAATAGTCTCTAAACATTGGAAATGTCGCGGAGAACCTAACGGGTAACTGGGGCTCCGGCTAAACGTGCAGGAAAAGGAACGGGGTGGTTTTTAGTCAGTAAGAGTCTGACACTTCCTGTCAGACTCTTACTGACTAAAATCCACCATTGAGCAGTCATTCGATGATTTTCCCCCCTTAAAAAAACATTGGAAATTAGGTCTATAATATAGTTAGTAGAGAGCGGTCACTGGTGACCGCTTGGGGATTAAATACATTATCTCACATACAGAAGGTCGTAATAGTCCACTGCCAACCATGCTTGGTAAGCGGATTGAAGATCCCAGGTATTTAGGTTGATTAGATATACTGCGATTCGATTTTTGTCTATGTGTAGTCCATCAATTAGCTCTATCGACACTTGCAGGAAGAGGTTTGCGGACAGAGTATTTTTTCTGTGGTACTAATTCAACAAACTATTTTGAGAGTTGTTATCAATAGTTATTACATAACACATAGTTCACATGGTCTAAATTGGTCTATATTCGTAATGCATTTGGTGTATAAATGATTTTGACTTTGACTTTCAGTGATGTGTGATCTATTTTTTCACTACGACTTAAAATACATATTATGTAACAGTACCTCCTTAGTAGGCAGAGTTTTCTCTCGTTACGTGCAATTGCTTTACATCATTAACCTATAAGTAGCCACTGCTGCCAAAGGCCACTCCTCCTCGAAGAAGGTCTGAACAGTAATCAAACAACTCATCAAAAACCTTTGGGCAATAGTTTAGAAGCATATTTGTTATCATATCAATACGGCAATGCAAGTCTGAATAGATTTCTCAATAATTTTCTTTAATGAAACAACAATATTTAATGACATAATAAGTTTATTGACCAAAAATACATGACAGAATATATATTCAAAAGTTTATAAGACATTTTTTTAACTTCATTTCAAAATAAAGGAATTAACAAATTTCTTTAAAAATCGATTACAATAAGTCGACGACTGCATCAATATCGATCAATCCAGATCCGCAGCTATCATCCCCGCAGTCAGTTGGGGCGCAGTCCGCTGAAACAAGGAAAATTAGATAACATAACATCTCGTCTTTTGAAAGGGATAGGCAGAGGTTCACATCATACCGCTGTACAATGTAACACCCACTTTTCACTATTTATGTTATGAGTCCCATGTAATAGGGGTGAGCCCATTGCCATATACCGGGTACAATTCCAGACGCCGTGCTACTACTGAGAGTATTTTAAAAACCCAGTAATACTTTGCCCGACCCGGGAATAGAACCCGAGACCCCTTGTCCGGCAGTCGCACTTACGACCACTCGGCCAACAAGGCAGTCAAAAAACTAGATATAGTTTTTTATTCCACGTAGTGGCAAAATAACCTAATGGTAAGTGGTCTTCGGGGCCTATGAACGCTTGCAACACTTGAAGCATTACATGCACTTGCCAACCCTTAAAAACTATTTAATCCCTTTGAAGAACCCTATATCGGTTAATATTATTTATTTATAAAAAATTGATCTTTATAATTAGGCAATACAATGGGGATGATGTAAGGGTATGAAAATTAAAAATCTAATTAGTCCGTAGGTTAGGTAATTAAAAAATATTAGACATGTATTTTTTTATTTTGTCGTATAATAAAACAATACTTAGATAAAACGAATCAAAGTTTAGGAGTGGGGGCTAAAACGTCATTTCTTAATATAAAATGTACTGATAAGTGACGTCACGCGACATTTCAAATCAATATATCTTCGAAACTATTCATTTTATTCCGTGAGAAAAAAAAATGTGTCTAATGTTTTTAAATAATCTACCTGACGGACATTAAAATAAAAATTAGTCTTCTACCCTATTGTAAATCTATTAAACATGCCATGACATACCTGCTACAAACATAACATTGGACATCTGAAACAGAAAATAAACATTAATTAATTTTAATATTCAAAACTTACTGATAGTTAATGAATAAACATGATTGTGAATAAACAAAAATGCAACTTTTATTACTATGAATATATGTACTCTTTCATTCCATTTAGGTTTTTTTTTCAAAACTTAACTTTATATTATAAGTAAATCATACTATTGAATTTTGTAAACACAATTTTTGAATACATAACTCTTCGATGTTAATGACACTTTTTTTTCTTCTTTGGCAACCGAGTCTCCAAAACGAAGTTGTCGACTATACTGCCAGTGTCGAGTGGTGACGGCAGATTAGTTAATGACACTTATGACTTATTCAAATCTGACACTGACAGTACAATACGACGCTGGGCCATAGATTATATCTATTACAGACTATATTCAACTTAAAATTAACTCAAAAAAGTAAAACAGCGAATAAAAAAAAACAATTGTTACTTAGTATTTTTTCTTTCCAAATATAAATAAAGTAGGTATACCTCTATATTTGACTTACCGCAATGATAGCGAGTACCAAGAAGAGGAGGAAAGACTTGTTCATGTTGAAGTGTTTACTACAGATGCTTCTGTTAAACTGATTGCTTTGAGGAATAACCTACTTTATATACTCACTCAAATGTGCTGCCATATAATATATACTATACATCCGGGAAATTGTCCTTTTTATTAAAAAAAAACATGTGAAAATAATACTACTTCAATATAATATGCAAATTATATGCTACATACTATTATAGTCATACTATTATAACCTTATTGTTAGTCCAGTATCGAATGTACATTGCCCAGACTGTTGCAAACGCATTGTAAATAAGTTCTATTAGTATTTTTATTGTATCTATAGTAAATTTATAGCGTTTATGTATTGTGTATCTATACATCGTAACACGTGTAAGAACCTATGTACACAAAAATTGAATTAACTTTCCTTATTGATGTAAATGCATAATGGATACCAGTACATTTGAGTGAGTATATAAAGTAGGTTATGCCTCGAAGCAATCAGTTTAACAGAAGCAACTGTAGTAAACACTTCAACATGAACAAGTCTTTCCTTCTCTTCTTGGTACTCGCTATCATTGCGGTAAGTGAAATATAGAAGATTAGTATATTGTTTGTTAACAATGTAACTATTTGCTTATATATAATACAAGTTAATGCCTTATGTTTTAAAAACACAATAAAATAAACAACAGTAAACCAAGTAAAAGATACAAGTTCTTTCAAGTTTTATCTACAAGGTGATAATATAGAGGTATAATTATTACATATAATTATTTGCTTTTTTATTCCTCATATTATCCTTAGTTTAAGATTGGTTTCAGTAACAATGGTTATAGTGAGCTTATAGGGGAGAAATGTTATATATGTTTATTTTACCTGTGGCAAGCTGGCCAGTTTAAATAGGGAAACTTATTTATGTTCTTCTTTTGTTTTTAAATATATGAGTAGGTTTTTGACTAGCTTGTTTAATTATTGCACTAAGTATTGAAAATATATGTATAACAGTTTTTAAAAGAGATACTTCGAAATGTTTTATTTATTCATATTTGTATGCACAACACATAGACAGTACACAGAAGAATACATATATAAATAGATTAGAGGTACCTACATAGGTACTGTATATTCCCATAGGAATCTCGTCCTTCGAAAGGAAAAAAGTAAAAACAAAAGACACTGTACATATATAAATATAACATAGTATAAAAAAGAATACAATACAATTTTACTTGTCAATGGCACAGAATAAATGCATAGTATCATTTATGCATATACTGCATAAATGATACTCAAAAAACAAAAACTTAACCTATAATCAAAAGGTTCTCTTCGTAAAAATCATGAAAGTATTTCCCATTTAGAAGTCTGGACATAACGATAAACTCACATAAATATATTGAAAAAGGTCGTCAGCGTAGTTGCCGCGTCCACGCTGTTCATGAGGAAGAGTCCCTCTGCGACTCGAAACTAGTAGACCTTTCTCAATATGTTTACGCAAGCAAACAGTTATTTTTAGTTAATTTAGTGTGTGTCATGGTAGTTATTATAAAAAATTTGAAGTTTGCTTCCAATATTATTCACTGACTGCCAATAACATAAGATAACATAACAACATGCCTTTTATCCCCGAAGTGGTGGACAGAGGTGCACATTTACGGCACTTTATGCCACTGAACAATGTAACACCCACTTTTTACTATTTATATTATGAGTCCCATATAATGACATATACCGGGCATAATACCAGACTCCGTTCTACTACTAAATTAAAAAAAAACCAGTAGTACTTTGCCTGATCTGGGAATCGAACCCGCGACCCATTGCCCGGCAGTCGCACTTGCGACCACTCGGCCAACGAGGCAGTCATCACAAATATTAAAAAAACAAATACATAATATTAATGTATGGTTTTGTTTTATTTTCAGATGACCAACATCATATTTGTAGCAGGTAATTATATTTTTGCGCTATTTGAAGTCAAACTGTAGGTACAGACGCCAAGTGACGAAATTATTTAATTGATTGTCAGTCTTATTGCAACAATATAAAATTGTAAATGGATTAGCGTAACTTGTGATGTGAAAGTTTGTAAATTGAGTACATTTATAAAATAAATTATGTAGTTAATTTAATGTTTCCTTATTTCAGCGGACTGCGCCCCGACTGACTGCGGGGATGACAGCTGCGGATCTGGATTGATCGATATTGATGCAGTCGTCGACTTATTGTAATAGATTTTTAAGAAATCTATTACTATTACTATTGTAGAACCAAGCCTTTTGAACTTTTGAATATGTATTCTTTTATGTATTTTTGATCAATAAACTTATGAAATTATTAAAATTTATTGTTTAATTTAGCTAAATAATTATAAACCTAACCAACTTCTATGGCTATTTTGAAGTTTATTAGGTATACTAAAATAACGTCACAATTTTTATCATATA